CTGTGCTGGCCTCACCTGTGCTGGCCTCAGCTGTGCACCCTCACCTGTGCGCCCTCACCTGTGCGCCCTCACCTGTGCTGGCCTCAGCTGTGCCGGCCTCACCTGTGCTGGCCTCACCTGTGCGCAGCGCGGGACTCCGACTTCGCGCTTGCTGTTTTCTGCCGACTGTTTTCTTTCCATTTTTATCTTCTCCTAGCTTCCGGTGAGCAGCCACACTTTTCACTTTCCTCTACCTGTTTTTAAGTTAGTCTTTGGGACTTTACTCCTCCACTGGTCTATCTTACTCCTTAAATGATTAGGGCCCACACTCATTTGCCCCCCAGAGGGCATGTGCTCTTGCCAGAAAGAGACAGAGAGAGAGGGAAAGCACAAAGTCACCCCCTGTGGGCAACGGTCACGCCGCAGTCCCTTCTCCATTCTCCTCTTGGGATATTGGGCACACACATGCATGCCTGGCGTGAGTTTTAAGCTGCCAGGTTCAGAGCTGGGACCGTGGTCGGCCATGTGGGAGTCTAGCACCTTACCCACCGGGCCAGCTGCTGGCCTCCTCCTTTCAGTATTTTGGACACATGTACACATGGCGCCCGGTGTTTTTCTCGAGCTCCTGGGTCTGGATTCGGACCACAGTCAGCCATGTGGGATCCGGCACTTCCACTACCATGCCCCACCTGACCTTCTGTCCACTTCTTTTTTTTTTTCTTTTTACTTATTTAATTTAATTTATTTATTTTAATTTGACCAGAGAGAAATAGAGAGACAGAGAGGGAAAATGAGAAAGCAAGCCGCCAGGTCCAGGACTTGAACTGCAGCTGGCCGTGTGTGTGTCCAGTGCCCTTAACTGCCACACCACCCACCAGCCCCTCTGTCAACTTCTTAAACATGTCAGTATCTATGTTTCTCTGTGTTTTCCTTGGTATTAGTTCATGTCCCAGGTGTTGGAGGGTGGGTATCTTTAGACAAAAGTAAACCTGACCAAGTTGTGGTTTTGTTCTGTTTTGTTTTTGGAGAGAATTTTGCTATAGGGCACATGCGCTCACCAGAGAAGAGAGAAAGAGAGATAGAAAGCGAGAAATCACCCCTCCCCAGGGGGTATAGCCACACTACAATCCCTTTTCTTCCATTCTCTTCTCGGGATCTTGGGTACGTACGCACGCACGCACATGTGCCCGGCGTGAGTTTAAGCCGCCAGGTCTGGGACTCGAACCACAGTCAGCCACATGGGAGTCCAGCCACATAGCCATTACGCTAACTGCTGGTTCTTCAAGCTCTGTGTTTTGTTGGTACTTGTGTTCTGGCTCTCAGGCTAGCCTCTGGGTACGTCCCCGAGAGTCGGACACGGAAGTACACTTGAGGGCGCCTGCCCTGCCTGGTGCTGTCGTGTGCTCTGTGGGCTCCCATGAGCCCTGCGGTAGCCGGCGCACCCGGTGAGCTGTGGGAGAAGGCGGCATGCAGGGTGGGTCGGGGGTCCTGCAGGTGGCAGCGTGGCCCAGCACACGGTCGGCTATGCCGCACACCCTACTGAGAGCATGTCCCTCACCAAGGGCAGGATGTGGGGGACCCGCGTCTGGGAATGTCATGAAGCTGGTGAGAAGGAAAATTCCGCTGGCCCCAGGAGCAGGCCAAGGAGGAGCCCTGACCTCAGAGCCCAGGACCGGGTGTCGGGGGTCCCTAGAACAGCTGGGACGCAGCGTTGCACCTGGCGTACACAGCCGCTCCCTGTGGCCCGCCCTCCCACCCTGGCAGGCGGCTGCGGCATCGCGCAGGTGTGGGGAGCGAGCCTCGTGCTTGCCGTGTGGCACCCGGGGGCCCGAGAACAGCAGGGCTGCCAGCACTGCGAGGGCAGACCACGTGCTGGGCTGCACCTGCGCCCCGCCATGGAGGCCCCACACAGGCTGTAATTGAAAGGAAGACCCGTGGGGCCAGCAGGGGCCATGGCGGCGCAGTCCCCTCTCCTCCGTTCTCCCGTGTGGTCGGGCGCTGGACTCCCACGTGGCTGAGCACCACTCCAGTCCAGATTGCGCTCGCTCGCTCGCTCGCTCTCTCTCGCACATGTGCCTCACAGCAAAATTTAAAATAATCAAAATTAAATCAGTCTCTCAAAAAAACAATTTGTGGAACCTTGAAAACTATGTTGGTGAACAGTGACAGCACCCAGGGCTGGGGTCTCTGGGCAACCCGGGCAGGCTGTCGGGAGTGGGTGGGACCTGGCTGAGCGGCCCAGAGGGGTGGCCTAGAAGCTGTCCCAGCGTGGAGGCCATAGCCCCACCTCTTTTTTCTTTTGTTGTTTTTTTAAAGAATTATTTCTTTATTTAATTCATTTCTTATTATTATGTTTTAATTTGACCAGAGAAAGGCAGAGAGAAAAGGAAAGGCAGAAAACCAGCCACCAGGTCCTAGACTCGAACCGCGGTCAGCCATGTGGAAGTCCAGTGCCCTAACCACCCCGCCCCTGCCAGCCCCCTTACCTCTTCACTCACGCAGCCCTGGGGAGTGGTAGGGAGGGAGAGGACCACAGGAGCTGCCCAGATGAGGCTCTTGCTGGGGTGCTGGGCAGGTGAAGCCCGCGGGGGAGCCGCGGCCTGCAGTCACCTGGGTGTGCGTTGCTGAGGTTCCTGCCCTGAGGGTGTGACCCATGGCCAGTGTGGCTGTGCGACACTTGTCAGCCCTGCACATGGGCTGCTTCCCAGCTCCCTGCCCGCTGTGCCTCTTGGAGGGGTGAGCACACGCCCCCAGGGCCCTCGCCCTCCCAGAACTGCTCTGAGTCGGCCTGGCCCTCCAGGCAGCTGGGACAGTCCACACCCTGTGGGCACCGCTGTCCCCAGCCCCTGGGGTCCGTAGCCAGTGGCCCAGCCCGGGGTTCTGTGCTCTTACCTGATTACCTGGGCGGGGCTCAGGAGGGCTCCCAGGGATGGAGGTTCCTGCGCCCTCCCCCCCTGCCACTGGGCCCAGCAGGCAGGAGGAAGGGGGCTCAGGCGAGGTGCGACCAGGTGGGCGTGGAGACGGGCGCTCCCCGGGGGCTGGTATAGAGCAGCTGCCTGGTCCTCACTGGAGGGCTCACCAGTGTCCCCCACTCAGCGGGCGGAGTGTCTCCTGGAGCTGAGAAGTGGATTTTCAGGAAGAGCTGGGTGAGAGCAGGCTGCCACCCTCCTGGGCGGGGGAGGCATGGGGGTGGGGGCCACCCGTGGGCACTCCACGACTCAGGGTCAAGCCACGAGAGGTCACGGAGGTGCAGCCTGGCCTTAGAGGGGCTAAGGCAGCGTCGGCTCAGGTGAGCAAGGGACCACAGGGTCCCAGGGTAAACGCGGCCTGGACGGTAACACACCCCCTCGTCTTCCACAGCCACAGCTGGGCGCCCGGCCCAGGCAGTGCAGAAACAGGTCTGGGGACCCACAGAGAGTGTAGTGGTTACGTCACCGGACTCCCACATAGTCGGACCGTGGTTCAAGTCCTAGACCTAGCGGCTTAAACTCACGTTAGGCGTGTGTGTGTGTGTGTGTGTGTGTGTGTGTGTGCGCGCGCGCGCGCTCATGCCCAAGGTCCTGAGAGGGGAAGGGAGGAGAAGGGATTCTGGCAGGACCATCCCCCTGGGGGGTGATTTGCTTTCTGTCTCTGTCTCTGTCTCTCTGGTGAACTCACATGCCCTATAGCAAAAATCTCTCCAAAAAAGACAGCGACAGAGGGACAGCTCCTCTAAAAGCCAGCCTGGGCAGGTCTAGCCCTGCCAAAGCCAGCCCTCGAGAACCCACCCAAGGAGAACTCTGCAGCCCCTGTGGAGTGACAGCGCCCACCCCCTGTAGACCTCTGCAGGCCACAGGGACCCAGGGGCAGGTCCCGCTCCTCTCCCGCCCCAGGTTCAGCTGCCAGCCTTGCTGGGCTGTGAGTGCAGACCGTCCTCTCCTCCCTGTCACCCGAGAGGCGGATGGCTTGTATTTCGGTGTCCGTGGGCAGCACGTGTGTGAGCCGGACAGCCATGGCCCTCCGGCAACTGGCCTGCGTGAGCCCCTCTTGGGACAGGGGGCATGCCAGAGGCTGCCGGGCTCAGTGCCACCACTGTGCCCTCTGGCTCAACCCATGTGCCCGCTGGGGCCATGAGGCACCTGCCCGCCAGCACTCAGGGGGCCCAGCAGAAGTTTTCTTTCCAGGGGCCAGGAGGTGGTGTGATGGTTAGGGCGCTGGACTCCACGTGGCTGACCACGGTCCGCGTCCCGGACCTGCCAGGTGCATGTGCGCGCCTGAAATCCCACGCAGAGAATGGGGGAGAAGCGGTTGCCACGTGGCCACCCCTGGGAGTGCTTCTCCCTCTCTGTCTCTCTGGTGAGCACACACACCCGATAGCAAAAATCTCTGAAAAAACAAATAAGTTTCCCTTCCTTTTCTATCAATCTGATATGCAAAAATGTATATTTCATTGTTTTAATTTTATTAAAAATTGCCAGAGGTCCGCGCTCCCCAGAGAGCGAGGGAGCGCGCACTCCCGTGGGCAGCCCCTCCTCCGTCTCCGGGGTTTGGCGCTGGCCGGGGCTGTCAGCCTGCTGGGCCTGGGGCCCTGCACCAGCCAGCCCTGCGCCAGCCCGCCCTGAGCTAGGCCACAGGCCCGCCCTGCGCTTCTCTTCTTCCCTCCTCTCTCTTTCTCTTTTTTTTTTCTGTTTTGCCACAGGGCATGTATACTCACCGATCAGAGAAAGTGAGAAAGCACCCTCCTCCCCGGCAGGAGTGGCCGCATTGTCTCTCCTCTCAGGGTTTCTGGTACACCCACTGGAGAGAGACAGAGACGGAGGGAGAGTGAGAACTCACCCCCGGGCAGGTGGCCGTGCCACAACGCCTCCTCCACTCTCTTCTCGGAACTGGGCACACACAGGTGCCTGACACGTTGCTCAGGTGCCCAGTCTGGGGCTTGGACCTCACGGCCGGCCACTTGGGCTCCAGCGCCTCGACCTCTGCCACCTGCCGGCCCCAGTGCTACAATGTTACGTTCTGGGTGAAGCTGGTCATTCCTCACCAGTCGGCTGTCCCCCCGTGGCCTATGTCGCGAGTTTTGTGCCCTTGCCTAAGGGACTAGGCAGGAAAATGGCATTCCGTGTCACTTCTGAGTCACCAGTGTGGAGGCAGGGCAGGCCCTGAAGGCCAGAGAGGCCTTTCGGAGGGGCCCTGAGGGCGGCCCCGGGAGCTTCCCGAGTGCTCTCCAGGCCCCGGACGGTGCTCTCGGGCTCCCCCTGCTGGTCCCACGCCAGGACCCGGGAGCTCCCGGCCATGGAAGCTGTAGGCCCGGGATGCCACAACTGCCCACCGCCAGGCCGCACAGCAAGGGGCTCAAGTCCCAGCCCTCTGCTGTGCCTGGGCTTCCAGACGGACAGGCCTGACCAGAGCAGGGACCGAGGAGGGGTGAGGACAGGGGGCAAAGAGGAAGAAGGAGGAGTGGGGCCGCCCAGTGCTGCCCGCCCAGGCTGTCACCGCTCTGCTCTCCGCCGCTGAGCCCACCTTCAGCACCGGCGTGGACAGGACCCCGGCTTTCTCCCTCCTTGGGGAGGAGGCTGAGGGTTCCCTGAGGTGCGCCCCAAGCTCGGCCTTCGTGCTTTCTCCTAGTGGGAACCCGTGGCTCCCCAGGCTGCCCTTCCTGGGTGGAGGGGCCAGCTACAGCGAGCGCGGTGAGCGCCGCCCGAGTTTCAGGTCCGATTCTGAGCGCTGCCTTTTTCTAAGTCTCGGCAGTTGATTAAGCCAAGGTGGCCCAGGCCACATCATGGCCGGCCTGCTGCTCACGCCCGTGGCCAGGGCGACCGAGAGCCAGTAAGGGCCTCATTTGCCACCAGAGAGCGAGGTGGGGAGAGCGACACACAGGCGTCCCCAGCAGCATCTTCATGACACCCCCTCGCAGCCGTCCCGGGACGTGCACACCTGTGCCCAGCGCGCTCACAGAGGTCCCGGGGCTCGAGTCCTGGACCTTTCCCTGGCCGGCGTTTGCACTTCTGCTGTTTGTGTGATTGTGCTCTTTACAACCGCGCTGTGTGCGAGAAACGACAACCTGCCGGCCTTCTGCTCGCAGGAAGCCTGGTGCCTGCGGCTGTGCTGTGTGTCCAGGTGACCGGGGATGGAGCCCCACGGCCGTCTGTGCACTCAGACGTGCGGGTCTCAGGGCCCACGCATCACCTGACGTGGAGCCAGCCCCTGCAGGGCCGCAGGGGCAGCCTCCGGGAAGGAACAGCTGAGGGGAAACCAGGGTGGCCTGCACTCTCGGGCTCAGTAGGCAGGAAGCCCGTGCCTGCCATCGTGTTCGCAGGGACATTGGTTTGCTCAGTGGGAGGCCGCAGCGCCCCCTCCTGGGTGTGTGCTTTGAGCTGAGGCTGTTCTGGGAGCTTGGGCCGTGTTTCCGGTGCCCCTCTGGAGGCCAAATGGCTCAGCCATGGCTCTGGCCTGACCGTGCAGTGAAAACAAGAGCCCACTCTGGGGACCAGCACTTGGCGTAATGGCAATGTCGCTGGACTCCCATGTAGTCAACCGTGGTTCAAGTCCCGCACCCTGTGGCTTAAACTCACGCTGGGCGCGTGTGTGTGCATGCCCAAGATCCCGAGAGGAAAATGGAGGAGAAGGGATTGCAGCATGGCCATCTCCCCTGGGGTGTGATTTCTCACTTTCTGTCTCTGTCTCTCTCTGTCTCTCTGGTGAGCGCACACACCCTATAGTAAAATCTTCTTAAAAAAAAAAAATGAGGGGACCAGCAGTTAGCGTAATGGCTATGTCGCTGGACTCCCACGTAGTTGACCGCTGTCCGCGTCCCGGACCTGGTGGCTTAAAATTCACGCTGGGCCCGTGTGCGTGGGTGTCCAAGATCCCGAGAGGAGAATGGAGGAGAAGGGTTTGCGGCGTGACCATCCCCCCTGGGGGGGGATTTCTCGCTTTCTGTCTCTATGTCTCTCCCTGTCTGTCTGGCGAGCGCACGTGCCCTACAGTGAAAATCTCTCCAAAAAAAAAAAAAAATGAAAGCCCCCCCTGGACCCAGGGCCACAGTCCACCTCCGTCGCACGCTGCCTGGGCACGGGTCCAGTGCCACCTCCCAGCTCGTGCGGTGGCCATCAGGCGTCTCCTTTTATTTTTAGAGATATTTTTGCTATAGGGTGTGAGGGCTCACCAGAGAGTGAGCAAGAAATCACCCCCGAGGGGGATGGCCATGCCGTAATCCCTTCTCGTCCATTCTTCTCTTGGGTCTTGGGCACATATGCACACACGCCTGGCATGAAATTTTTTTAAAGATTTATTTATTTCCATTTGTTATTATTATTATTTTTTTAGCTTTGACCAGAGAGAGAGAAAGGGAAAGCAAGAAAGCAAGCTGCAGGGTCTAGGATTGAACCGTGGTCAGTCATGTAGGAATTCAGCACCCTTAACCACCACTCCCCCCAGTTTGAATTTTAAGCTGCCAGGTCCGGGTCTCGAGCTGTGGTCGACTATGTGGGAGTCCAGCGACGTAACCATTACACCATCTGCTGGTCCCGCCAGGTGTGAATTTTAAGCTGCCAGGTCTGGGACTTGAACTGCAGTCAACTCTGTGGGAGTGCAGAGATGTAACCATTATGCCACCTGCTGGTCCTGCCATCGTGCGTCTCTGGAGACCCAGGGCCACTCCCAGGAGCGCGGTGAGGCCGTCCTGCAGGAAGGCGAGGTGCTGGCTGTGACACATCTTCGCCATGAGAAAGGTGAAGCCGTCCAGGGCGGGCGGCCTCGAGGGGCCACCGCAGCCGCTGGCAGCACTGCCCGTGCTTGGTGGCCCTTCTCCCCCCGGGCCATGTGGGCTCACGAGGCAGCTCCTCAGGTCCAGCGCAGGTTGCAGACACGGAAGGTGAGCACGAGGCTCCCAGTGGCCCAGGGGAGGAGGACAGACAGCAAAGGACCCTGGGGAGGGACAGGTGGCCTTGGGGTGCTAGCCAGCTCAGGTGCCCGCTGCCAGGAATGGGTGCCAGGAGCTGGCGCCAGGGTAGGGGTGAGGCGCAGCTGCTCGCCTCGGCCCCTCACTCCGCCACCCCGACGCCCGGGATGTCTCCGCTCCTTTGTCCTCCCGTCGTTCCTGTCCGTGGCCCTGAGCCGGGGCCTCTGGGGGATTTTCCTGAGGCCGCGGAAGCTGAGCGGGGTCTGGGCGGAGGCGGCCTGGCTCGGGCTCCCTGGGAGCACAGCGCACCCTCCACACTTCCTGGGAAGCGAGCGGCTGAGTGGCCCTGCTCGCTCCTTTCTTGAAACTGCTGTGGCGAAACAATTGCCGCCATTTAGGAAAGTGGCTCATGTCGAAATCACTTAAAAGAAAGTAAACAGGTTGAGAAACAGCCAGGGCGCTGGCTTCCTCACGGCGTCTGTCCCAGGCAGTGGGCCCTGGCACCCGTTCCTGCTGCAGCTGCTGCCAGTGGGGGTGCACCCCTGCCAGGGAGGAGAAGGCGCCCCAACGGGGCATGACCAGCCGCCCCTCCATCTCCCCGTCCTGGTCCTGCAGGCGGGGCGGGGCTGGGACGCGGGCAGCCAGGCGCTCGGCTCCCCTGACCCCTGGGCCGCGCGGCCAGCGCCCTCATCCCCACTCCTCGCCAGGCCGACGTGGTAAGAGCTCAGGCCGCGGGAGACTGGACGCAACAGAAACGGGCCCTGGGCAGCGGGGAGCAGAGACTGCGGCCCTGCAGCGGAGGGAAGCGGTTAGTAGGGCAAGGCCCGGGCTCCCGGCCTTCTGCCAGAAGGCAGTTTCTGAGCTACTGGTACAGGTTGGGGACCAAGGCCAGACAGCTCAGCCCGCCCTGAGCTGAGCCACCGGGAAGTGGCGTCTGGGGGGCCAGAGCTGCTGGCAGTGTTGGGCAGGGTCCAGGATGGAGGCGGCTGTGCCAAAGCACTCTAGCATCTGCTCAGGGCTGTCCAGGCGCGAGCCCCGTGCAGATAGCCCGCCCATCAGGCAGCTCCAGTGGCAGGGTGCCAGCTCCCCGGGGCTTCCCTGTGCCAGCCAATCACACTGAGCCGCAGTGAGCACCTCCGGCGCTCAGCGGAGACCCCCACGTGAGGGGGGTTTTCAGTGGAGACCCCTGAGACACATCTAGACCTGTCCTAGAAACACTTAGGAATGCTCTTTGAAGTGACCAAACAGCGCACCACCTGTCTAAACAGAGCCCAGCATTCTCAAAACGGCAGTGAGAAATTTTCAACGGCACCTTCTCTGTTGTGGTTTGCTGTAGGGCACGTGTACCCGTGGGGTTGACGGTGTGCATGTGAGTGAGAAGGCGCCCTCCAGGGGGTGGCCACCCACGATCCCTTCTCCATTCTCCTCTCAGGAAGGGCGGGAACACGCACATGCACCTGACGTGTTTTCAAGTTCCCAGGTCCAGGGCTCAGCCGCTCCAGTGGCCACAGGAGATCCAGCCACTTTAACCTCCGTGCCTCCTGCTGGCCCTCAGTGGAATATGCCGAGTGCCCGACGTTCGATGAGAAATTGCGAGGCCCGTGAAGAAGCAGGAGAACGTGATCCACAGTGAAGGAGTCGGTCCAACACTGAGGCCCAGAAATGAGAGAAATGGTGCATCCAGCAGGCAAAGGCTTTTTTTTTTTGGAGAGGTTTTGCTATAGGGCACGTGCGCTCGCCAGACAGACAGAGACAGAGAGACAGAAAGCAGAAAATCACCCCCCAGGGGGGATGGCCACGCCGCAATCCCTTCTCCTCCATTCTCTTCTTGGGATCTTGGGCACGCATGCACACGCACCCGGCATGAGTTTAAGCCACCGGGTCCGGGACTCTAACCATGGTCGACCATGTGGGAGTCCAGCGACATAGCCATTATGCTAACTGCTGGTCCCGAGCAGGCAAAGGCTTTAAAAGAACTATTGTTATGTCCACAAATTTAGGGGAAATGTGTACGTTATGAGAAGAGTAATTAGAAATATTTTGTAAAGAACCAAATGAAACTTCTTGGGACCAGCAGTTAGCGTAATGGCTATGTCGCTGGACTCCCACGTAGTCGACCGCAGTTCGCATCCCGGACCCAGTGGCTTAAAACTCACGCCAGGCGCGTGTGCGTGTGTGCCCAAGATCCCGAGAGGAGAATGGAGGAGAAGGGATTGCGGCGTGATCATCCCCCCTGGGGGGTGATTTCTCGCTTTCTGTCTCTATGTCTCTCCCTGTCTGTCTGGCGAGCTCATGCACCCTGTAGCGAAAACCTCTCCAAAAAAAAAAAAGAAAAGAAAAGAAAAGAGAAGATATCTAAGTACTTGATCTGAAACAGGCTGGGAGCCCAGCAGGTGGCATCGTGGTTAAGCTGTTGGACTCCCACTTGGCCGACCGCAGTTTGAGGCTCGGATCTGGCAACCTGAAAATCAGGCTGAGAGTGCGTGAGTGCCCAGAATCCCAAGAAGAGGACGGAGGAGAAGGGATTGCAGTGTGGCCACCCCCGGGGGTGATTTCTCACTTTTCGTCTCTCTGTCTCTCTCTATAGAGCACATGCACCCTTTAGCAAAACAATAAAGTAAAAAAATAACAGAGAGAAGCCATAGCCTACTGCTTAAGGTAACCTAGTCCCACATGGCTGTTCACACAGTTCGAGTCCTGGCCCTGGTGGTTTGGGAAGCATAATGCGTGTGCTTGCGTGCCCAGGATCCTGGCAGAATGGGGAGATGGACAAGGGGTTAAGGCGTGAGCATGCCCCACTGAGAGGCGCTCCGTCCCTTGCCCTCGGTCCATCTCACTTGTTCTCTAGTGAAGAAGAAAGCTGGCGGGGCCGGCAGTCGGCTTCATGGTACTGGCAGAAAACAGACACCTAGGATGAAACAGGGAACTCAGAAACAAACTCAGCAACATACAGCCGACTCTTTTCTGACCACAGGCAATGCACAGTCCAGCAGTGGTTCCAGCAGTTAGCGTAATAGCTATGTCGGTTCGAGTCCCGGACCCGGGGGCTTAAACTCACGCCGGGCGCGTGTGCGTGCGTGCCCAAGGTCCCAAGGGGAGAAGGGATTGCGGCGTGGCCATGCCCCCTGGGGGGTGATTTCTCGCTTTCTGTCTCTCTGTCTCTGTCTGTCTTTCTGGCGAGCGCACGCGCCTTATAGCAAAAACCTCTCCCCCCAAAAAAAGACAACTCAGTGGAGAAAAGAATCTTTTCAACAAATGGTGCTGGGAGAACTGGATCTCCACCTGCAGAAAAATGAAAGTGGGCCCCTCTCTGTCACCGTTAACGGAGACCATCTCAGGGACCAGCAGGTGGCATGATGGCCACATCGCAGGACTCACATGGTTGACCACAGTTTGAGTCAAGGACCCAGTGGCTTAAAAATCCCGAGAGGAGGATGGAGGAGAAGGACTGGGGCGTGGCCATCCCCCGGGGTGAGAGGTGATCTCTGGCTCTCTGTCTCTCTGCCAAGTGTACACACCCTATAGCCAAAGCCTCTTAAAACAAAGCAAAACCAGAAAGCCACTCAAATGGAGTAAGGAGGTGAGTGTAAAGGCCCACTGGAAAACTGCCTGTGGACACACAAACCACTTAAAGACGTGGGAGTAGGCAAGCGCTCTTGCAGGACCCGAAACCACAGGCAGCAACGTGACGGACAAGTCCGATCTCAAGCGAAGGAGACGATACGGAAAGCAGAGACCCCACGGAATGTGGGAGGGCATTAGCGGACTCTGGTTTTCATGAAGGATTGATGGCTAAAGTGTATATGAGTCTGAAGCGACTCGCCTGCAAGAAAAATCTCGTAATCCAGTTTGCAAACGGGCACTCAGTCTGCAGACTCTCAGAGGGGACCGTACAGATGAAAAAGGGCACAGACGTAAGCTCAGCGGCTCGTCAGAGGGGAGCTGCAAGTCAGCACCATCGTGGGCGGCCCGCGGGCAGCGCCGTGGTTAAAGGCACTGGACGCCCACATGGCTGACCGCGGCCCAGGCCCCAGAGCTGGCGGCTGGCTTTCTCGCCTTCCTTCATCTGTCTCTGGTCAATTTTAAAATAATAATAGCAAATGGAACTAACTAAATACGTATCTTCAAACCCCACAGTGGGTGTCACCTGCTGTCTGGCGGCTGTGACTAAGTATGTACGTAAATGCCAGCAAGGGCCTGGGGACGAGACCGCGCGCCGACCGGGACGTCGAGTGCCGCTGCGGACACAGACACCGAGGTGCCTCGGGACGTACAGACGAAGCCATCGTGTGAGCCGGCGATCCACGCCTGGCACTCCCCGGAGGACAGGGACACTCACGCCTCCGTCCATCGCAGACTGTTGACAGCGGCTGCGGCATGGAACCAGCCTGAGTGCCCACGAGCCGCTAACAGACGTGGCGCACACGGGTAACAGACGTGGCGCACACGGTGGAGCACCACCCGCCACGGAGAGCACGAGGCCGCCACGACCAGAGCGCAGACCCTGAGCCTGGACGCCAAGGGACGGAGCCGGCTCTGCCGTCGGGTGCGCGTGCTCCGCCCACCACGCGCCAGCGTCTGCACCCTGCGGCCGAAGACTGGAAGGCATGGAAGCGGGGAGGGCCGCCAGAGACACCAGAGGCTGCGGGCAGGTCCTCGGGGAACGTGATGACCGACCACGAATGCCTGTAGACGGGGCAGGAGCCAGGCGCGGTGAGAGGGCGGTGCCAATTGTATGTATTTCTTTCAACAAAAGAAGAGACCAAACTAGTAGAACGAAAAGGGAAAGTCTGAGCACGCGATGCGGTGCTGCTTGTCGAAGATGAATATGGCGATGCCCTCGGTTTGATGATCACGCACGGCATGCATGCCGTCAAAGACCATATCGTACCCCACAAAGGTGTGCAGCAATTACACATGAAATAAAAATGTGGGGGCCGGGGTGGCGTGCTGGTTAGGGGCGCTGGACTCCCACATGGCTGACCGCAGTTTGAGTGCAGACCCGGTGACTTCCTTTCTCACTGTCTCTCCGTCTCGTTCTCTCTCTCTCCTCACTCTGTCCCTCTCTGGTCAAATTAAAATAAGTAAATAAAGTTAAATAAAATAATTGTTTTTTAAAAAGAAATAAAAAATTTTAAATGGAAAAATGATTAGACACACTACAAAAAACAAGAGAGAGATAGATGGCAAGTAAGTCATTGAAAAGATGCTCAACAGTAGTCATTCGAGGGGGCTACTCTAAACCTCAGCGCGGTGCCGCCGCGTGTCACTCGAGCAACTGACAGTGGCAAGTATGGGCGAGGCTGTGGAGCAACTAGAACTCACACCGCGCCTCGGGGATGCAGTGGACAGCTACCGTGGAAAACCGTCTCCTAAACACTAGCGCACCCTCACTACACACGCTGTCCCCAGATAACCGCCAGAGAAGGAGCAGCGTGTGCCAGAGACCTCTGCGTGGGTTGGCG